TTATACATTTATAGCATGTTTACTGCTGCGAAAATAAAATATGGGGGCTGGTCTTGTCTAAATTTTTAGCCCCCTTTCTCCTCGTGCCTAGTACATAGTAGGTGCCTAATAAATATTTGTTGAATAGATGAGTGAATTGGTTGAGGTTGGGATAATGAAATTCATTCTTCCCTTTTCTGCTGTCTCCCAAACATCTCTCTGGCTGTGAACTTTTTTCAGAGCTTGAGGTTAATGCCCAAACCCTGTCTTACTGTCACCTCAAACACAGTATATATAAAATACATTATTTTCCTTCCTTCAGTGTTTCACTTTTATTTATTTATTTATTTATTTATTTATTTATTTATTTATTTATTTTTTTGAGACGGAGTTTCACTCATGTTACCCAGGCTGGAGTGCAATGGCGCGATCTCGGCTCACCGCAACCTCCGCCTCCTGGGTTCAGGCAATTCTCCTGCCTCAGCCTCCTGAGTAGCTGGGATTATAGGCACGCACCACCATGCCCAGCTAATGTTTTGTATTTTTAGTAGAGATGGGGTTTCACCATGTTGACCAGGATGGTCTCGATCTCTTGACCTCGTGATCCACCTGCCTCGGCCTCCCAAAGTGCTGGGATTACAGGCTTGAGCCACCGCGCCCGGCCGGTTTCACTTTTATTAATGCCACCATCACTGACAGCCCTCAGCCATGAAACCTTGGTGTTATCTTGCAGTGTTTACTACCCCTGACCCCTAGGGTGCTGTATGTCTTTGGGGAAGTTTTCTGGTTACTATTTCACCCCTGCTTTTTGCCTATTAACATTTTAGCCAGCCCTCAGGGCCCCGCTTCAATCCTCCTGAGCACCAAGCTGAATCTTCCATCCAAGTACCGCTTTTGTGCTTATGTCTATAATTTGTTTTGTTTTGTTTTGTTTTTGAGACAGGGTCTCTCTCTGTTACCCTGGCTGAATAGAATGCAGTGGCATGATCATGGCTCACTGTTGTCTTGACCTTGACCTTGTGGGCTCAAGTCGTCCTCCCCCTCCCAGCCACCTGAGTAGCTGGGACCACTGTTACCTGTCACCACACCTGCCTAATTTTTAAATTTTGTATATAGTTGGAGTCTCGCCACATTGCCCAAGGTGGTCTTGAACTTGTGGCCTCAAGCAGTCCTCTTGCCTTGGCCTCCCAAATTGCTGGGATTACAGGCATGAGTTACCATGCCTGGTGTAGTTATTCTTTTTCTAATTAAAAAAAAAAAAAAAAACCCCACGCAGTTTCCTGATCTGTTAGTTCCTTTCCTATATCCTAATATTATAAACATAGTAAAACACATAAAGTATTTATCAATTGAATTGCCTTTATTTCCTTTTCTTTTTTTTTTTGACACAGGGTCTTACTCTGTCACCCAGCCTGGAGTGCAATGGCATGATCTCAGCTCACTGCACCTCTCCCTTCCAGGAGCAACTCTCCTGCCTCAGCCTCTCAAGTAGTTGGGACTACAGGCGCATACCATCATGCCTGGCTAAGTTTTATATGTTTACTACAGATGGGGTTTCGCCATGTTGGCCAGGCTGGTCTTGAACTCCTGGTCTTAAGTGATCCAACTGCCTTGGCCTCCCAAAGTGCTGGGATTACAGGTGTGAGCTACCACACTTAGCCTATTTTCTTCTTTATTATCCCATTTTTAACTTCACCACCATGTATGTCCTACTGTTAGCTCTGTCATAGAGACCTAATGCTTGCCACTTGGTTGTGCAACAGAAGATAGCTGGCAGCAGCAGTGCCATCAGCATGGTTTTCTTACTTCCTGTCTTTGGTGTTGATTCAAGCTCAATCAACACTTTTGATGGAGGCTTCTGCAGTTTTAAAAGGTGAGGAGTCATAAGGTTTTACCTGCTGCATCACACTGGAAGTGTGTGAAGGCAATAGAGTCTGAACTGATGATGCTAGTATGTAGTTAGTAGTTCTCTGTATCTACCTACTGATGATTGAGGGTGTCAAGAAAATTTAATTGGTTAAATTATTTTAACCAGCATTTGAGTGCCTATTGTACTGTGATGAACATATGTGTACAAGATGTTTGCTCTTAGGAGTCTCCAAAATCTAGCAGATATGACAGTTGTTTAACATTCTTTTTAGTAAATAAAATATGTCAAATGCTGATTTAGAAGTAGGTGTGAGCTGCTGTTGGAGTACGTAGAAGGCAGCATATGCCTCACTGAAGGGCTTATCAGGGGAGGCTTATTTCATAAGGGATGTAATGGGGCCACATCTTGATGGATAAATGGAAATTCACAAGTGGACAGGGGCTTTAATATCTTGTGTATGTCTAATTCATGAAAACACAATGGAATCAGTCTGGGCCCAAATGTATCTCCAGTAAAGGGTGATACCAGCAAGGGTAGAGCTTTATTTCCTTGATATCATGGCTTAAGGTAGCCAAGAAGTTCTGATTCAACAGTGCCCTCAAGTAGCATACTGTACAGATAGCCTAGCATAGCAATTAAGGGTGGGCTCTGCAGTTAGGCTGCCCAGGTTCAGATTTCTGCCCCTTACTAGCTTTGGGGCTCTGGACAAGTAATTTAACCTTTCTGGGCCTTGACATAGTATCTACTTCATATAAATGAAGATTAAATGAAATAAAATACATAAAGTCCTTATCAGCAGCATCTGGCACTCAGAGTATTCAATAAAGGTTTGCTATTTTTATTTTTGACTGTTTACATTAGCCTAGCGCAGAGATTGGCAAACTATAACACGTGGGCCAGGGCCAAATCTGGCCTGAAATTCGATTTACAAATAAAGTTTTATTGGAACCAGGCCATGCCCATTCATTCAGTATCGATTATGGCTGCTTGTTGTGCTACAAGATCTGGGTTTAGTAGTTGTGACAGTGATCAAATAGCCTGGAAAGTCTAAAATATTTACCATATGGCCCTTTATAGAAGAAATGTACCTTTTTTGAAGAAAGTTACCATTTACTATATGGCCGTTTATAGGAGAAATTTAGAGGATAAAATCAAACTCTTTAGCTCTCAAGATCTTCAGTGATTGCTTCCAAACCAGTCTTTTTTCTATCTGTAACTAACAGATGGCCAGGGCAGCTCTTTGGTTTTCACTGCCCCGTCTATTCCCTTCATAGCTGCCGTCTCCTGCTGGATTGTGCTTCCTTTAATGTTCCAGCTACTCCTCTGTCTTTTGCATGAATATGGGCAGCAGCAGGGCCAGGACTAGGGTAGGATGTATGAGGCACTCACTTTGGATACACAATTTAAGGGGGCCCCAAAAAACTTGATAAGCAATATAATTTGTTAATATAATGTTTTTAAAAATAAAAATTAATGCCAAAACTTATGATGAACAAAATATCAATATTTTATTTATTTTTTTCTTTTTTTGAAGCTTAATATAATTTTATTAAACTTTTTTCCAGGTTTATTATGACTGGCAAATAAAAATTTGTAAGCTGGGCATGGTAGCTCACACCTGTAATCCTAGCACTTTGGGAGGCTGAGGTGGTAGGACTCCTTAAGCCTAGGAGTTTGGGACCAGCCTGGGCAATATGGTGAGATACTGTCTCTACAAAAAAAAAAAAAAAATTAACTGGGTGTGGTGGCATGAAAGCATGACTCCAGCTACTTAAGAGGCTGAGGTGGGAGGACCGCTTGAGCCCAGGACGTCATGGCTGCAGTGATCCAAGATTGTGCCACTGCACTCCAGCCTGGGCAACAGAGCAATACCCTGTTTCAGGAAACAAAAAACAAAACAAAACTAAGTTGTACAGCTTAGTGTTTTGATCTAAGTATATCTTGAGTAATGATTCCTACAATCAAGCTAATTAACATATCCATCACTTGAATAGTTACCATTTTTTGTGTGTGAGGTCAGAACATTTAAGATCTACTCTCAGTAAATTTCAAGTATACAATTTCAAGTATTCAGTAATACATTATTATTTATTATAGTTACCATGCTGTACATTGAATCTCTAGAAAGTATTCATCTTATAACTAAAAGTTTGTATCCTTTGATTGATATAGCCTAATTTCCCCCACCCCCAGCCCCTGGCAAACACTATTCTACCGTATGTTTCTCTAAGTTTGACTTTTTAAGATTCTGCCTACAAGTGACAAAGCATCAACAGTTTAAATAAAGACAGGATTAGTATTACTGATTTTTTTTCCTCGGCCTCCAACATGGCTCAACATAGTAGTGGGCAGCAGAGAGCAAGTAACCCACACTTAAGTGACTTAAGCCCAGATACTCATACTTCCTACCTATATGTTGGGGAGAGTAATAAGATTCAAAGTCACCTGCTGACTGATCATATGAAGGGCATATACTCAGGTCCCTGTCAGGACTAATTTCATAAAGTATAATTATTCACATATTTTGTTGAACTTAGTTTACAGGAGTGATCTGTGTATAATCTGTTATATAAAAGGAAAGAATGAAAACGTTTCCAAAAGTTTTCGTATGGTTCATGTGAAATGGTTTCTTGAGAGGAGTGAAGCATACATTAGAATGGCAGCATTGGATAACTAAAACTGTTTACCAAGAGATCTGGAAGGACCACCTGGTTCCTGCAAGCTTTTTCTAAGAAAGGCCAGATAGGGATATTAATTGAATTTTAATGCTTTCCGATAAACATTGACCCAGCAAGCTTTTTTAGATGACTAACTTTCTAATCTGCTTTGACATTTCTTCGTGGAGCTGCAAACAGTGATTTGTTGGTAGGTTTTAAAACATGTATAATTTGTTTTAGTGAAGAAGGTTTGGAAGTATTCTGTAGAATTCTATTAAAGCAAAATGGAATCTTATCTGTAAGGAATAAGTCTGGAGGAATGGGCAAGATCAACTTTTCATTTCTCAGACACCGTGTTGAGATGGTTAGGAATTATTTGATGTTTTGACATAGTGAATTAGTTGTTCTGCCTTTCACTGTTATACAACAAGAGATAAAATGCAGTGTTGAACTTGATGCTCTTTTGCTTTCTAAATATTTTCAAATGTTTTTAGGTGTATAGTGTTGATTGGAGCCAAACCAGAGGTGAACAGCTTGTCGTGTCTGGCTCATGGGATCAAACTGTCAAATTGGTATGTTAGCATTATTATATTCAAAAACAAATATTCCCTCCTCTAGAGCTTCCACTGAATCTTTTTTTCTTTTCCAAACATAATTCTGTAGCTTTATGATTGGACAGCTGATTTTCTTTAAAAAAATTAAAACATTTATTAGAACTTAACATTTTGTAATCTTTTGGCTGCAAACTAATAGTTAGCTCAGCATTAGTTTGGCCCTTAAATACCATCTTGCTTTATATAAAAATAGAGCTTTAAAAATCCTTGATATCTGCATGTATATTGTACATGTATATATAAATGTATATTGTTTATGGGTATAAATAATATGTGTAAAAGCATAAATTTGATTTTATCCCTCTTGAGTAATTGGTCTATTCATTTATTTGTAGTGGGATCCAACTGTTGGAAAGTCTCTGTGCACCTTTAGAGGCCATGAAAATGTCATTTATAGCACAATCTGGTCTCCCCACATCCCTGGTTGTTTGGCTTCAGCCTCAGGTAAATAATTCTGTATTTGCAAAAAGCCCTACTTGTAGTGAATAGGTGGCATTGTTTTTCCCATTAGGTGGCGCTGTGTACCTTAGATTCAGAGAGAAAACAGGAGTCTTACTATTCTTTTGTGCTCTTAAGACTTTCCTTCTTTGTCAGCCTCTTGACAAGAATTATTAGCTGAGGTTCAGGTTACTTTTTGATGATTCCAGCTCCTAAAGAATAATTCCTCGGTTTCTGGCAAGGACAAATTCGTGGATGATAATGTTATAACTGAGATATGATCTATGTTTGAAAAAGAAGGTCTTGAGTTTTGTTTTAGAACACTGTTACAGAACCTCTGAGACACGCATCTGTTTGTCAATGAGCAGGTTGAGTTTGGAACTGAGTAGTCTGGCCTTGTGAGTAAAAATTGTATCATTGGCTTATAATTGGTAAATAAAGCTATTGTAGTAAATCAGAGCACCTGTAAGGGGCCAGTATTCACTAAATTTGCTGCACATCTAAGCCTTCAGATGAATCAGAGGGGATTTAATGAAAATCAGGTACTGGACCTGTAAGCTCCAAAATATATTCTTTAAAAGCTTTCCTTGGGAAATGGATACAGTAAAGCTGTTTTCTGCCAATTTTTATGACTTGGGGAACTCATTGGAAGATTGATTTATCAAACATTTGCTATTTTCCTGAAATAATCCTTTGTGATGATTTACAAATGTTAGTCTACTTAGTACTTTTTAAAAGATTCAAAGTTCTTCTTCCACTCTGCAAAAATACTGGAAGGAGCTTTGGTATAGTAAAAAGCCAAGGCAAGCTCCAGAATTCTCATTGTGCCTTAGCCATTTCAAACACAAGAGCATTTATTTACTGAGCTATGTACCATTCGTTTGTAAGCAAATGCAGTGCTTAGATCATCTTTGCTTCCCTTGTTTTCATACATTTCCTGTAACACTTGTGTATTCTTTTACATAGCCGAATGCCTTACAGAGCCAAACACTAAAATATTTTTAATTGTTATTACATTCGATACGGGAGTAATCATCTTATTTGAATTTTTAAAACATATCTGAGTTCATTTTGATTGTTGAGAAGGACATTGCCAGTAAACCAGTCAGATATTTATTGAATGTCCATCATTTACTGGGCACTGGAGATTCAGCGAGGAAAACAGATGGAGTTCCTGCCCTCCTAGAGCATGTAGTCCAGTAGGAAAGAGGGATGCTAAGACAAAAACTAGAAGCAGCTAATGATAAAGACTGTGAAGTTCTTTGAAGGAGAGGTAATATGGCACAGTGGTCAGGAGCAAGGATTCTGGAGCTGGACTGCCTCGGGTCAAGTTCTACTTTCCTGCTGTTATGAGATGTTCTTTGGTCATGCTGCTTAACCTCTGTCTCCTCATTCCTCATTTCTAAAATCAGGGTGATAATGGTATCTACATCATGAAGCTTCGAGGAGGATTAATTGGCTAATGTACATAAAGGGCTTAGTTAGAACAGTGACTGGTAGAGTAAACACTCTGTATTACCTTTTTTTTTTTCTTTTTTTGAGACAGGGTCTGGCTCTGTTGCCCAGGTTGGAGTGCCGTGGTGCCATCTCAGCTCACTGAAATCTCTGCTTCCTGGGCTCAAACAATCCTCCCACCTCAGCCTACTAGCTGGGACCACAGGCACACGTCACCATGCCCTGCTAATTTTTGTAGTTTTGGCAGAGACAGGGTTTCACTGTGTTGCCCAGTCTGGTGTAGAACTCCTGGGCTCAAGCAGTCTTCCTGTCTCAGCCTCCCGAAGTGCTGGGATTACAGGTATGAGCCACTGCACCCGGCCTTAAGTGTTACCTCTTATTATTAACACGTGTGCCCAGAATTCTGTGGAAATGTATAAATAAATTCCTGAGCTTGTCAGGGTTGGCTGTTCAGGTCACTTCCCTGTCTAAGCTGCTGCCTTATGAATAAGTAAGAGTTAGGAAATGAGAAGCAGGAGGCAAAAGTTGGAGTGTGGAGAGAACAGAGCATATTTGAGGACCATCAGAATGGCCTTTGCAGTGTATATGTGCTATAACAATGGACAGTTAGTGCTTATCTGAGAACTAAAACTCCTAGAACAGAGCTCTAGAGTAACTTGCTGTAGGCAGACTCTGGAATACATGGACTAGTAACATACTAGTCCAGTGATTCTAAAATCTTGCTAATCACCAGAACCATTGGGTGAGCTTAAAAAAACAGCAGCAGAATTCTGGGCTTCATCTTAGTCTTACTGAATAAAAAGACAGAATACCTCTCTGAGGTATATTTTTAAATCCCAGCTGAATCTAGTGAGCAGCCCAATTTGGGAAGCACTGTACTAGTCTATGGAAGAGCTCTGTTTGAGATGCCAACTTGACAGCTTAGTTGTATTTGAGGTAATAGGAATTGCGTGTCTGTTTTCGAAGGCATATACTCAACTCTTTTTTTTTTTTCCGAGAAACCTACAGAATGGTTTCAGTGCTGAATTCAGAAAAGTGGGTTCTTTAGTTTGAGAACTGCTTAGTTTTTTCTCAGCTTTGTTAGTGAGTTTATCTTTATTAATTCTCTTGCTTTGTCTTCTTGCTTACAGACAAGGGCATGTTATAAGTCATAACATAGTCTTTGCATAAAGTAATCTCAACTGCAAAGTTTGTAGTATGGAACCCATAGTTGTAAAATACTTGTTTTTCATGGTGGAAGCTTATGTGATAGGCAGTCAAGATGTATTTTTATGTCTAATCCTGTTGCACACATACAGTTAAGTATATCTTTCAACTGATTACAACAATTTATATTTTAATATAAGATATGAGAATGTAGCATTTAGTTTACTCCAAGAATTTAGTCACCTTCAAGGTTCTATAGTTTTGCAAATCTAGAATCAAATTTGTTATCATTAGCTAAATTAAGACAGGCCAAAATGGGGGAAGTTTTAGAGAACTATTAATAGATCTAGATTTACCTTCCATAGCAGAGTTCCCTAAAGACCCTACATTTTGCCTAATTCATGGTAGTTGTGTTGGTACAGAATTCATATTTCTAAATTATATGAGATAGAAGGGAAGAATATTTGAGATCTTTTTATGAAGAGGATTAATGTGAAGTAAATTATCTTTGGAATCATATAAAACTAAATTATTGTTGTCACAGACTCCATCTAATTGCGTAAGTCATAACCATGCCTGAATGTGTGGGATTCAGTAGTTAAAGCACACCTCATTCTATTGTCAGAAAAAGTTATATTACATCTGAGAGGCACAGAGCATTTTGGTTAAGTTATATTACATTGGCCCCAAAGTACCCTTGTGCTACTCCGTTCACTTCCCAGTTTTAGATTCTGTGTTTACACTCATTCTCCTTATGCAACTTCTTACCTGCTGCAGTTTGAAATTAGACATAGTAACAGCCAGCATAGTAACTTCCTCGTCCATATTGTACATTTAAATTCACTGGTTCTGGCTGGGTACAGTGGTTCATGCCTGTAATCCCAGCACTTTGGGAGGCCAAGGCGGGCAGATCATTTGAGGTTAGGAGTTCGAGACTACCCTGACCAACATGGTGAAACTCCGTCTCTATTAAAAACTCAGAAACATTAGCTGGGCGTGGTGGTGGGCACCTGTAATCCCAGCTTCTGGGAGGCTGAGGCAGGAGAATACCTTGAACCTGGGAGGCAGAGGTTGCAGTGAGCCGAGATCACGCCACTGTATTCCAGTCTGGGCAACAGAGCCTCTGTCTCTGTTAAAAAAAAAAAAAAAAAAAAAAAAAATCACTGGTTCTGTCAGTGGCAGGTCTGTAACTGATAAGAGAATCTGGCAATTCAGGTGAGTCTATGGCACCATCACAGGCCCCTGATAAACGACTGCCTGTCAATGAAAGGCCAATTGTCTAGAAAATTCAATTTAAAAAACAGCACAAATGCAGTTGTCCTGGCAGCTGAAAGAGTTGAATGAGTCATTGTACCATTTGGTCAGGAGACCTGTTTTCTACCTGGAAAACAAAATGGCGAGGACAAGGTGCCAAATGGTTGCGTCAGGAGTTGCTGTCAAGGAAGTGGAATTCTCAGCTCCTGCCCAGCAGTCTTCACGTTTTTGTGCCTGTTAAATTAACTGCAAGAGGGGACAGCTCAAGCCATGGCTCTTTTTTT